TTTCGGGATTCCGTTTCGATATTCTGATTCGGGCACGGCCTAAGGAATTCCCTGCGCAGTTCAGCCTTTCTTCGAGTTTTTTTACGTCATTCTATTCGTCCGATTCCAAATATATATTACACTACGCAGATTATCATGTATTACATATTTTTGTTATTTTGATTTATTTATTTTTGTGATAGAGGGCAGAGTGGACATAGTCTGAGCCTATTTTTTTTTTTAATAAAAAAAGTCGTGGTAAAGTTTAGTGTTAGATTCTTAAATGGTTACACCCAAAATATAAAATTTTACTTTGACGTTACAATAATATTATTTTTGTGTTTTTTACCATTGTTTTATTGAAATATTGATGCATACTATTATTTTTTTTTTGAGTTCTTAGCAAAATACGATCTTTTCCAGTTTATGGTACGATACGATAGATAGATAGATATAATACGATATAGTATTATACTATATCTATGGGCTGGCCGGCCTAACTATCAATTTGCGATAACATTATAGATTACTAGTACCAGTACGCAGTTATTATGCAGTTATCTGTGGATTATAGGCTGTGAAGTTTATATCGACTGCTCGTCGCTTTCTGATCGAAAAGTTTCTTATTTCATTGTATTTGTCTTATTATCAAATAATATAATAACGCGTGTTAACGAACTTATATATATATATATATATATATATATATATATATATATATATATATATACAGGGTATTTTTGGAACGCTCCCGAAAACTAAGACAGGCGACAGCACCAAGTATACCTTTGATCATGAGTCATAAATAAATTTGATCCTGATGAAAAAAAAACATATATTTACAACGTTTTATTAGCTTTATTCACGCGTCATCATGTTAGTACAGCTAAATGAAACGATAATTTCATAAAAAAAATCATGTAAAGACTGAAACATAAAACCAGCAGTGGAAACTGAATTGATATCACCTGACTAATGGAGGTTAATGTACGCGCGAACGGTGAAAAAAGAACGCTGGCCTTGAACTTGGGCACTGAGCGATTTATCACATATTGGCCAGTATTACTGTGCCTGCATGCTATTGGTTCCCGCGCTTTGTTCGCTCCAAAAATACAGTCGCATACACAGCTTACTTTGCGACTCGCGACGATGTTTTAAAAAGGAAGGAAAAAAAAATATTTATATCTATTGTTTTATGACTAAACTAGTGAACGAAAAAGTGAATGGGGAAAATTGTGCAGTAAAGTTAAAATTGTTGAGGAAGAATACCGAAAAAATTACCATGTGATCGACCTGATGACGCAAGCTCAAGCGAAGATGAAAGTGATGATGAAGTAGCATCCAGTAACACCAACACACCATCAACATCTGGCTTCCATGTGACCCAAGACGTCATAATGGACGGCGTGTCACCCTTAGCTTAAGTTTTTTTGTTACAAACTACTTTATATTTTACGATAGAAATAACAAACAATGCTCAAGTAAACATTATCTATTTTTAATTCCCACCTCTTCCAAAGTTCTAAGTAGCTAGTAAAACACCTATTATGATTCTACAATAAAACAATTAATTACTATAATATTATAAAACAATAGCCCAATACCATGTAGTACTTTAGAACGCGACTGTACCCACACTCACTCCGCTGTCGACCTGTATCTAGCTCGGTATGAAACAATACTGCGGTCATAAGAAAAAAGGGCGCATCTAACAATTTTCGAATAAATGAGTTAAATATACCATTCGACTCATGATAAGAAGACGCATCTACTAAATTTTTTTAATATTCACTAATATCAATATTTTAGAAATTATCGTCAGAATTTTAGACGTAGCTGTTGATCACAGATGACATTTTATTAGTAGAAAAGACTTATACAAATTCAACATAAAAGAAAAGACTTATTTAACCAGTTGCTACGTCATCTTTAACAATATTTGCATCGATTACTTAAATTTAAATTATTCTTGTCTTATTATTTTATATCTTATTATTAAGAGCTTATATCTTATTATTAAGAGCTGGTGTTTCACATGTGGTCCCATATAAATTTGATCGAGGTCAGACCAATAGTTTTTGAGTTATCCTTAATTATTTATATTAAAGTCGGTTGTACAAATGTTTTAATTTTTAATTATTATCGTAGTAAGTCTTGTATGATATCCCCTTTAAAATCATTACTCAAGAGTTGCGGGTTGTTATTTTTTGTGTCTCACTACCAATGCTTTTCTAATATTTACTAAGAAAAAAGTAGTAAATTACTATTAGCGTCCTCTCAACTTCAAATGACCTTTCCAAAATATGTAAAAATGTTAAATGAATGGTAGTTTTGTTTTATTTATTAGGTTGGGAAGACCCAAATAGTTATATGCGTCTTTCCTTCGATGTTTTTGTGTTGCCAGGTGTATTTTTTAATCTAAGATGAAAAGGAAAATTCGTTTTATTTAAATAAATAAACAAATTTAAAAAAAAATAAGTTCGTCCTTAAAATCTTCATGTCTCTACGTATATATTTCAATATAGATACCTTTTAATATACTTTAGACACGGGGTCTGAAAGAAAAATTCATCAATTTTTTTTTTTTTCCATTTTACGTTTTTGTTAGTTACTTCCTTTTTTATTATGACGGCAGAATGCCTAACCCTGTCGCCTCACGCTTGTGACGCAGTTCGTTCGTTTTAGTTTTTGAGACAGTTCCGTGTTGATTTTGTACACGCGTGCGCGAGCGATAGTTCAATCGTTTTGTTTAATAAATTTACTTGTGATTACGTGTTGATATTAAAGTTTTTGTTACGTTTTTGGATTCTTTTTTGTTTTAATAATGCCTAACGCGTACGTTTATAGTGGTTATTATACTGCCGTTGGTTATTATATCAGCAACAACGTGTGCCTGGTTCCATTGAGCACATTATCTGGACGGATGAGTCGACATTTACCAGAAACGGCCTGTGGAACCGAAGAAATACACACGTGTATTCAGAGGTTAACCCGCACGCTGTTCGACAAACCGGGCACCAAACCCGATGGTCGGTTAAAGTATGGACAGGTTTATTTAAGGATCGCATACTGGGACCAGTGTTTCTGCCAGAGCGACTGAACGGACAGCGATACCTAAACTTTATAAATGAACAGTTGGTTGACATTTTAAACGACCTATCGTTGGCTGAATATCGCCGCACATAGTTCCAACATGATGGTGCCCCTCCACATTTCGTGAGGTTCGTCCGTGAGCGCCTCAATGAGCTATTTGATGATCGCTGGATCGGCAGACTAGGACCACACGCTTGCCCACCTCGCTCACCAGATCTGACTCCGTTAGACTTCTTTTTGTGGGGTATGTGAAAGAAAGGGTTTTTAATCGTGAATGTGATAGTGCTGAAGAAATGCGCCAAAGGATCGTGGATGCTTTCGAGAAACTACGTACGGACTGTGTCGAAGACCACACGATGATGCCCCGCCTGCACCCAAGTCTGCCTTGAAATGAATGGAGCACAATTTGAGCCGCATCTCATAAGACCACGGAGGATTTAGAGCAGTAAACTGTTTCATAACTATTTTTTTTAAATAACTTAGTACTAGACTAATCTGAATAGGTACATAACTGAATACACGAGAATAATAAACATACCTACACGATGAATAAAAACGCATGACTCAAACCTTGGTTACATTTCATTTAAGTATTTCTTCATTAGCGGGGAATCGAACCAGTTATTTGGGTTATTTAACCTGTAAATTCGGATTAAAGTGCCTACGTGGAGATAAGCACAGTGGCAAAATAGTAGGTTAAGTAGATAAGTTAGGTATTTAGACACGTGTTGTAAATTATTAGGTATTGTGGGAAGGCCCGCTAGTTGCGGGCCGCGCGAATTTGTGTTCGCGCGTACATTGACCTTTATCTAGCTCAGGTCAGGTGATATCAATTCAGTCATTCCACTGCTGGTTATATGTTTCAGTATTTTCATGATATTTTTTATGAAATTATCGTTTCATTTAGCTGTACTAACATGATGGCGCGTGAATAAAGCTAATAAAACCTTGTAAAAAGATGATTTTTTTTTCATCAGGATCGAATTTATTTGTGACCCATGATCAAAGGTATACTTGGTGTTGTCGCCTGTCTTAGTTTTCGGGAGCGTTCCAAAAACACCCTGTGTATATATATATATATATATATATATATATATATATATATATATATGTGTCTATGTGTCATTGATACCTTCAAATCTAGTCTTTTTTGATATTTCTCTGTGTCAAAAACATGTTTAATTACATGCATTTTTATTATGTACCCTAAGAGACTTACTTAATAAGGGAGAGAATGGCGTCAGTAACTGAGTACCTAATTATCTAGATCTACTTATAAATAATAATATAATTTTGATTACACACATCCCTTAATATATTCTGTGAACGATATAAATTAGTTAATGTGTCGATTAACTCGTTCGTCCACGTGACAGATATGTTGCCGACAAATGTTTCCATTAAGCGTCTCCACAGAGGGAACAAATCTTTGGAACAAACGTATTCCTTTGATGTTGCCGCCGAAAATGGAAACACGGTTCCCGGCATTATTTACAAGGTTTGTTACCTACATTAGGTAATTACAGAAATATTTGTCACCAACACAAAAGTTGGTAACAAAACTTTGGTGGAGACGCGGCTTATTACGAAACTTTTTTAAACAAAGCGATTGATGGCACATCTACTGCGTGATTGTTGCTAATTTTTATATAATAGCACTGCCGGACTGGCAACCACAGACAATAATTAGTAAAAGTTAGCTGACAAAACGTGAAAATCGTAGTGATTATATACTCCATAGATAATATCTATATATCTGAATATTTGTTTTATCTGTACATAATCTGTAAGTGTAAATTTAAATTTTTAAAAAGTGGAACCGTTTGTGTAGTTTGTGGCGTTTATTATTTTAGATTTTAGCTGTTTATGTTTAACTAATCGTGTTCTGTGATTTTAGTAATGGTTATTTTTGTGCTTTACCCAGCAGAATGATAGATCAACGATGTTCTGATAGTAACGAGTCTAGGCGAGATATACCTTCTTTTATCGAACCTAGACCACCTTTAATATCTAATCCTTTTATGCGTCCTCGACCCCAGAAAGGCACAAATCTGTTGGAGTTATTTGAAGAAGATTCTGATTGTGAAGAACCGGAGTTGGTGCAGGTTTATTTAAGGCTAAAACCTTGTAATATTCCAAGTAATTTATATGAAGTAAAATCAGATCGCTGTTTAATTACATCTTTGGATACTGCTACTGTGGGTCATGGACGGCGTACTCAGCATAATGTATCGAAAATGTATTCGTTTACTCATATATTTGGGCCAGAGGCGAATCAAAAAGTGAGTATAATTACGTATCGATAGGCATATCTGCTTAAAATCTAATCAGTTAAAATTATGTAATAAATCATAATTGCCTCAGTATCATTATTCTCATACTCCTGCTGAAGTCAAAAAAAATTACACCATTACTATAACTGAACAATTGCTATAGTTATTTATTATTTAATATTGACATCTTTCTAACGAATTTTAATAATGAAATAACTTAAGATATCTATTGTTGCATAACGTTGTGGTGATATGAATCATTTAATGCATGTACTGTACTCATCAGAAATATTTGTCGATCTGTCAATTGATGTCAAAAAGTCTGAAATAGAAATAGTCAGATAAGGGACGAAGTGTAGTGGTGCAGTGGGGGAACTTGTTTTCCAGTGAGGTCCTTAGATATTTATGACGGATTGCATCCTTTAATTACTATTGTTAGCCTGAATTTCTGGGTTTTTTGTTTTGTGTAAAAATCAATATTTAAATGAAGTGTTTACATTATTTACAGGAATTATTTGAACGTGTTGTAATGGATAACTTAAAAAAGTTGCCTGAAGGAAATAGTTTCACTTTACTTACATATGGAGCTTCTGGTTCAGGCAAAACATTCACGCTCATGGGTACAGTGGCAGCGCCTGGTCTTGTTCCTCGATCTCTGGAATATGTTTTCAGGGTAGTAGATGCAGCACAGAAACCTTTATATAAACCAGCCGACAATGGTGCGGAGAAGCTTAGCAAGGCTGCACAAGAGCATGAGCTGCAGGTAAGGTTTACATTTTAAATTTATGTTAGGACTATCATTCATGCATAAACTCTCATGCCTGTATGCACTTCCATTTGGTACAATCTCATGTTTATCAATGTCAATTTAATATAATTAAGACTTAATCCTCGTCATTCTGCTCGTAGTGGTCATCATTTCATTCATTCATTCATTACAGTCAGTCAAAAGTCTACTGCTAAACTTAGACCTTCCCTATAGATAGCCACATATTCATTTTGTGGGTTGGAAACTGTAGTTTTTATTATTATTAATAGTTGTTATGTTATCAGGAAGATATTGCTGTCTATCTCCTGTTTCTGTTTCCCTATATCACCTCTTTTGACACCCATTTGGGATAATATAGGATAGTGGATCCTCTTTGCCACTACACAGCAATGTCACCATTATGTCAAGTCATCAGACAATACCAGATTGCATGTTAAAAATATCAACAACTACAACTAGTGGGTTATTGATGAGTATGATTGATTGACAGTTCCTCTCTCCAATGTGAGAAACCCATATCTAATAGTGGACTATACAGGTTGACGAGGAGGAAAAGAAAACTTTCTTATTACACAAACATAAGTAGTATGTATAAACGGATAAATCTCTACTTTACATGCTAATTAGTACTTGACTTCTTTTTACAGTTTGTGAAACAGATGCGACATGTGTCAGTACCATTAAGAGATAAATATCGCCGAATGAGTGTACAGCTAAGGAATGATCTTGCCACTAGTGATATGCCTAGAACAACAGAATACTATGTTTGGGTAAGAAGCATCAGTTATTGTAAATTACTGTTCATAGCCAACCAATACATATGTCACACATATTCTATTTAATAAAGTCTGTTAGGCTCAGTTTGTTGCCACGCTTGCATATACACATTATTTTTAGTCATGAGGCCTACGAATTATCATTAATATTTACAACTACTGATTTTGGAATAATAAAAGCATTGAAATCCATAAAATATTATATTATGGTAAAATGTTTTTCTGATTTCATTCTAATACACCCAGTATTAGAATGAAATCAGAAAAATAATACTACTAATACTGGGTTACTTTACACAGACAGGTATGCATTGGTAATGCTTCTTCTACATTCTGGACTAAGTTCACAAATATGTAAATATTTGAGAGAGCTGGTGCTTCTCATGTGGTCCCATATATATTTGATCACGATCTGTCCAGTAGTTTTTTATATTAATGCATATTTAATTGACTTCAACTACATTGATGATGTTCTCATTTAATTTATATTGAACTCGGTTGTACAATTTTTTTTATTTTATCACTTGTTTAAACTTAAAATTAAACTCTTTGTTTAAAAAATATGTTACTACCACTCTAGGATTTTCTTCTGTAGCATTGAGCCAGTTTACATACATAAAATTGCACAAGGACTAACATCTAGACCAGGGACAATTATTTGTAGATCATACAAATACTTGTTTTGAGCAAGATTCTAACCCAAGGCTCACAGTGCTAAGCCAATGGGCCATGGAGTCATCGAATATATATTAGTAGAAAACCATTAATATTTAACACTAGCTGTTCCCCGCGAATTCGCCCGTGTGGAGTTATTTTTCGTGGAACCCTAAAATAAAAGCAGCCCAAGTTACTCCTTATAACATTAGCTATCTGCCAGTGTGGACAAATATGGACATTAATATTTATACGATACTGTCACTCAATTGTTTTGCCTTCCTGGAACCCCTCCACTAAGACTTAAACTTTATTCTATGGTATTAAAGTTCAAATTGACTTTATGGTATTATTACGAATCTTTTGTATGGAAATATAGAAAAGTGTTGTTTTTAGACTTTTTCAGGTAATTTTTTAAAATTTTCTCTCCGTAAGAACCATCTCCATACTTCAAGGAATATTATAAAAAAAGAATTAGTGAAATCGGTTCAGCTGCTCTCTAGATTTGCTCTTAGCAACACATTCAGCGATTCAGTTTTATATTATATATAAATTTTTGAGTTGTATAAATATAAAAAAAAAAAAACACAACTTAAAAATTATGAATATGTTAAAACTTACATAGTACTTTGTTTACTTTATTTACCACAGTATTCAAGATAAAATGGCTTTTTATAGAAATAATGATGATTGATTAGTATCACAACTGTTGCAGGTATCCTTTGTGGAAATCTACAATGAAGGTATTTATGATTTGCTTTCAACGAGTGACAGGAGTGCTGCCTCAAAGCTTGTCATTCGGGAGGACTCCAATGGCAATGTTTATGTCAAGGTAATGATTTTTAAACTTATGCTTAGGAACCCTAGCAAGTTACTTCCCCAAAATCTGACTGAAATGTTCGACTTGTTATATTAAAGCAAAGTTTTCTTTTAGAAAACAGAAATTTTCTCTTCCCTTTATATAACTAAATGCACTATAAATAGAAAAGGGGTGGATACCCCTTTTCTATTTATAGTTTTACATACTGATGTATGTAAAACTGTAATGAATCGCAATCTGTCTCTACACACCATACAAAACACATCAGTATAAATCTGCTATGTAGTGTGGGTATTCTATGAGAACATGGTTCCTCTCCAGTCGAGCCTACCCTTTTGTGCTGCAACTATAGTAAAGCTGCAGCGTGAGTAACTTTGAAACTAGCTCAGATTTGATTTTGACCAGTTGCCATGGTGCCAAATATTCTCTTCCATATATGTATTAATCGATCACTTGCTTCTGGCATTGATCGTTTCCAATACGAAAACTCGAACTTTGCTCTTGGCAATGATCATTTACAAAAATTATTTTTTATTAAACGACGCTAAACTCTATTTTGAAGACCGTAAATTCCTTTTAAAACATTTGTAAACCACAGTCTAATAGATTATCTAACATCTGGGCGCAAGTTTGCCATATCATACAACGAATTTATTTGTACAATTATGAAGTGAAGTTTGAAGTCGCCGTTTTATGATTATTTGTGCTCAGCGTCATTGTGTTCTCTTGTGCTCCACGAAAAAATGCCGTTTTACTAAAGTTAAGGTACCAAATTAATCTAGAAAACCTGTTTTACGATATTTTAATATTTTATTCATGATACACTAAGTGAAATGTGCTAAAATCGAAAGAGTCGAACGCGTCTTCGTTGACGTTGTATGTTTACGTATTTTAAAGCGGTAATTTATCGTAATTATTTACAACTGCGGGAAACTATTTGTGAAATAAAAGCTAGACATAATTTTTATCATAAAAGGTAAGATGGTCATATAATATCTTTAAGATGTGCTTGGACAGGAATACATGAATATTGGCGACAAGTACTTACGTTGTCACGAAATATTGCTCTGGAAACAATCGTTTCCAGAAAGCAAAGTAAGTTTCACCACAAAGGGTTGACGGCACAAATAGCGTGTAGTTTTTTTCACGTTTGTTTATTTTATTATTATTATTTCTTATTATTGATATTTTTTTGGAACAAAGTTCTTTTTTTTTGTAAAAGAACTAGCAATATGATTTCAATTAAAAAAATATCTATTTATTGCATACGAGCGTGACACTGAAAGTTCTTTGAAAATGAAAAACTGAACGTAAGTTATTACTTTTTTTTATATCTTTTCAAAATAGTGTCCATTTACATGAATACATCGCTGCATCCGATGGAACCACTGAGAAAAGCACTTTGCCCACTCGTCCTTAGGGGTCTCTTCGGCGGCATTTTGAAGCGCAGCCATTGCTTCCTCGGCGTCCATAAAACGTTTACCTCGAAGTTTTTCTTTTATTTTCAGAAATAAATAAAAATCGCAAGGTGCGAGGTCGGGGCTATAGTGCGGGTGACCTAGTAATTCCACGTCTGAGGTCGCCAAGTAGTCGATTGTTTGCTTGGCGGTGTGCGACGAGGCTTTGTCGTGGTGAAGGAGGATCTTACTGCGAGGTCGTTTCTCCCGAACTTTTTCCAAGACAAGTGGCAAATAATTGTTAGTGTACCACTCTGCAGTAACTGTTTTTCTATCCTCTAAAACAATTGTTGCATAAAGACCTATCCTTCCGAAGAACGAGGCCATCTTTTTTCCCACGCTTCGACCTCTCTTCACTTGAGTTGGCAACTCCTCGGAAGGAAACACCCAGACAGCAGACTGTCTTTTAGTTTCAGGATCATAACAATAAATACAGCCTTCGTCACCTGTAAGTATGTCGAACACAGCATTTGAGTCGCCTCCGTTAAATCTTTGACCATTTCACGACACCAATCAACACGACGGAGTTTTTGGGCCTCTGTCAAATTATGAGGTTTCCACCAGGCACAAAGCTTCCTGACCCCTAAATGTTTATTTATTTAACCTTTCATGCACAAAGTTGTATATATGGCAGACTTAATGCCATAGGGCATTGTCTCCCAGTCAACCATTAGGCTAAACAGAGATTTTATTTATTTTATTTTTAATTCATATTTCATTTTTAATTCATTCATTCAAATTCATTCATTCATTCATTCATTATGTTATGGAAAATCAGAAGCTTACAAATCTTAAGTAAAGAACATGTTAAATTTACAAAAAAGCCAATAACAGGTTCTCACTAATAGAAATACACTAACATAATCGATTTCATTGTTTAAAGGACATAGCACAAATATGAGTAACAAAAATGGAGTCTAATTTAAATGTACAACATGCATAAATTTAATAAGTGAAACAAACAATAATAGTCACAAAAGAAAAGAAAAAGCAGGACTAAACGCACAATATAATATTTCTTAAAATAAATTAAATTATGACAAAAAACTCTCGACTTAATGCCCGCCTTGCCGATATATAGCTAGTATTAAACAAATCAAAATCATGCTTTTTGCATAAATTATTAAAATTATTACATGAAAGTATTTATACGATACATGAAAGTATTTCTTCCATAATTAGTTGATGAAGCTGGTAAGTAGAGTAATGCATTTGTTCTAAGGTTCACTATAGGCGTTCTCAGTGTTAGCAAATCAGAACAGTCAACATTTCCAGAACAGACTTTCAATAAAAATACAATGTCAGCAATCTCCCGACGCTTTATCAGAGGTAGCAGATGATGGTGTTTGCATAAGGATGAGTAGTCTTCTGATCGGTAGTTTCTATGGGTACGATAGCAAAGATGTATAAATTTACGTTGGATATTTTCAATCCGTGAAATGTATGTATGATACATCGGGTTCCAAATCTGTGAAGCATATTCAAGCGTACTGCGGTAAGTACAGTACAAGATTTTAATTATTTTAATATTATTAAACTCCTTTGCAGTACGCATGACAAAACCTAACGCCTTAGATGCCCTAGTTATGATATTGTCAACATGGGTGTTGAATAATATCTTAGAGTCATGGAAAATCCCTAGATCACGTACAACAGATTCTTTTTGTAAATTCTGGCCTTTAAGGTGATTGCCGAAATTAATTAAGTTTCGCTTGCGTGAATATGTAATAAGGGTACATTTTGATGGGTTTAGATCAAGCTTATTGATATTACAGTATTCCTCCAATCTTAGTAGATCTCCTTGCAGTAATTCAGCATCAGCCGGAGATGAGATTGTGGAAAATATTTTCATATCATCAGCAAAACACAGGAGGTGTGATGATTTAAAACAGGTTTCAATATCGTTGACAAATATAAGAAATAGCAACGGCCCCATCAAGGACCCCTGTGGTACACAACTCGGTATTGACACCCAACCTGATATGTAATTGTTAACAACTACACCCTGCGAGCGATTGTCGATATAAGAGGAAGACCACCGCAGTAGGTCTCCACAGATACCAACATACTGAAGCTTTTTTAAAAGCAAATTATGTTCAATCCGGTCGAAAGCCTTACTATAATCTGTATAAATAACGTCAACTTGATGACCATCATCCATGGCTTTAGTCAAGAATGAATTGAGGAGCACTAAATTGGAAACGGTAGATCTACCCTTGAAGAAACCATGTTGAGACTGGCTTATGCTTAGATTGAGTAACGGATATACCTGCTCATAAATCAACTTTTCAAAGACTTTGTAAATGATGCACAACTTAGAAATTGGCCTATAATTAGCGACATCGGTCTTAAGACCCTTCTTGTGCACAGGGGTGATATATGCACGCTTCCAAATATCAGGAACTGAGCATTCATGCAACGATTTGCGAAATAGCAAACTTATTGGTAGTGTTAACATCTCTGCACAATTATTAAGAAAAGTGGCTGGTAGGTTATCAGGTCCGGCGGATTTTGATGGATCAAGAGCTTTCAACAACCGATACACGTGCTTAACGTCAACTTCTATCTTTGAAATATTTGCAGTCGATTTTGATGTTACATTAGGAATATTTGGAGTTGATTGAGCGCCCGGGTATAAGAAATTTGACTTGAAATAAGTTGCAAACGCGTCACTAATAGACTGTCCTGTGTTATAAATTACACTACCTAAATTGAGACTACTTGGAATAGAGTGAGTTATTGATTTACGTTTAACATATGACCAGAAATATTTAGGATTTTTTTCTATTGACCTTTCAACGGATGATATATAGTTTTTATGACACATATCTTCCAAATATTTAACACGAGTGCGCAGTATTTTATACGATTCTTTATCGGATCTATTACCGTAAGTCCTGAATTTACGAAGGTACTTATGTTTTTCTTTAATTGCTCTCTTTAATGCTGGGGAATACCACGTATGGTAGGAGTCCGGTTTAATTATTTTAGACGGTATGTGCTTATCTCTTAACTTCTCAAATATTTCATAAAAATATTTAATGGAATCATTAAGAGATTTCGAAGAAAATTCGATTTGCAAATCGATTTCAGCATATTTTCCATTAATTGATTAATAATCACCTTTATTATAAAAAAAAACTTAATAAACGGAGTTGTTTTAAGTGTGCTTAACTCATAAAAACTTACTTAAATTACTAACGCTCCGTGAAATGTATCTACTGGTACCAAAGAGTCGTCACTACAATCAGATACGGCTACATCACAGTTAGATAACACAAGGTTGAGTGTTTTACCATATTTATTGCGTATACCATTATATTGGCAAAAGTTAAGCGCATTAATTTCGTCAACCAGTAACCGTTCATTGTGCGTACTATAGTTCGTTGGCTCATAACAATGATTACAACAGTTGGAACAGTTGGATGCGGGTATCCATTTTATGTTACTTAAATTAAAGTCGCCCACTATATTATATTTATCCGTGGGATATTTTAAGACTGTATCATTTAATTTCGTAAAAAAATTCAATAACTGATCCGAGAAACTAAAACTTCCATGTAAATTACATAAATATAAGACATAAATATGCAGAAAAGTAGGCATTTTGCTATCGCTTTTTATGACAGTAAGCGTGAGCCAAAAATCTTCAGCACTGGAGTTAAAGTTCGGTTGAGGTTCAACAGACAACTCTCTGCGTGTCGCAATGAGTACATCGCCCCCGTACAATTGGCCCGTCCCAGCATAATCACGATCGCGGCGCCACACAACATAACGACCATCAAATAACTCAGAGTTCGAAATACCATCCAGAAGCCACGTTTCAGTTATAACAATGACATCCTATTTAGACAAGCAGGTATTACGGCAGAAGTCAGATGTTTTAGTACTAGTAGTAGTAGTAGTAGTAGTAGTAGATAATAAATATTAAATAAAGAGCTATTCGTATTATTAATAAAAAACGTAGCCATTATAAATAATTAAATTAAAAATAAAATAAAAACAATGTAGAATAAAAATTATAAAACTAGGCAATATGTAAAAAGTGCAAACTCAAATAGCAAATAAACACGGTAACTAATTATCACGTTAAAACAGTGCTGTAATAATAAATATTTATTTATAACATAATTCAAAAAAATAATAGAATCAATATCGTTCAACATCATATTACGAAGAAGAATAGCGAGAAAGCCAACTCTAGTATTAAAAAAAAAATGTTTAAAGTGTAATGAAAAAGCAGGTAAACATAAATGCTAATACAACTAAAAATCAAGATTATTAAACTAAGCGGAATGCAAAAAGTCTTAAAATAACTAGTTAAAAATATGTTATTAATATTAGGGTTAATAGCATGATACGAAAGCAAACCAACACGATAACATATTAATACATTAAAACATTTTTGCAGCATGGAATAAGTGCACTCAATATCATTTAATACCAAATAGGGTATAAGAGCGAAAAGAGCGAGCACAATATGCATACAGTTACCTAAAATATATCGAAAAAGCAGGTAGGAACAATTATGCGTCGAGCAATATATCACACAAACTTTTAGAAAAAAGCACAGAATAACAACAGCGATACCGATGTATTTGCCGATGCAAAGCAGGGGTCGTAAACATTTCATTACGAGTGTAAGTACAGCAGAAGCTATTAAACAATATGTACTTAAACTGAGACCTAAGTTAAGCAAATTATATGTTTGGAGGCAGTTTAAGCTAACCCTCTAATAATCATAACCCTCGTAGTGTCGTTTTTTCTAACATGAATTTTAAAATACTTTACCCAAACGTATTGATAAGCTTTATCTTTACAAATAGCTTTGTTTTTAGTTAACAAAGTCTTAGAATACGGTATTAAGTGGTCATTAACATACAGCCGTTGTTCGTTACCCACAAACCCAATGTCCTTTGCTGTCATGAATTTCTTGGCTCGCGCTGCAGCGACAAGTTCTTCCTTTACGTAGCGGTTGATGAAGTTGACAATAATAGATTTATCTTTACCAAAATGTGTCGGCACCCTTTCTATGTAATTTATTTGACGTTTGGGGATCGTGTAACCAAGCTGCGTGCATATGTTTTCTACTATTGAAAAAAGGTTTTCATCTCTCTTTAGGGGAACTCCCTTTATCTCGACATTGTTAAGTCGAGACCATTGTTCCTTAGCAGCTAACTCCTTTTTCAGGGTCGATATTTCAGAGAGTGTCGAGTCAACTGTTATTTTTATTTGCTCCGATTTAGGTATCTTGGATTCAAGATCAGTTATTCTGGACTCACAGTTAATTATTTTTTCACTATTAAATTCACAGGATGATTTTAGCTCACCTATTTCACGCCTAATTCTTTTCACGTCATCAATGAGTGCTGGTAGACAGTGAAGCTGTAGTTTAAGGTCACGTATTTCCTGCAGAACCATATCAATTGAAGCACCACCATCACTGGCAGGGATCGGCGGCGATGTGGTTGGCGTTGGCGTTGAAGGGGCGCATAGAAGGTTCCGGCAATAGGAACGCCTCCACGCAGCCCTTCGGTCGGCACCCAGCTTTCTACACCCAGCTTCGGTTATATTTGAGCAGCCAAAACAAAGTTGCTTTTTACACGATCCACACTTAACGCCATCATTGAAATCCGTATTGCATAGTGCACAATGCATTATTATTAACAATTACTCTCGACGTAATCAAATAAGATATTCTAATTAAAAAAAAAAAGAACTGATAGAAAATAAACTTAAGCAGAATTAGTTTGTAACTCCTGATGCTCAGAACTCGTTTTAATTAACACCGACACGTGCTAACTCTAAGTGTAAACAACGACAACTGTTATATAGATAGACAAACAAGAGGCGGTAATCAGCTTTCTACACCCAGCTTCGGTTATATTTGAGCAGCCAAAACAAAGTTGCTTTTTACACGATCCACACTTAACGCCATCATTGAAATCCGTATTGCATAGTGCACAATGCATTATTATTAACAATTACTCTCGACGTAATCAAATAAGATATTCTAATTAAAAAAAAAAAAGAACTGATAGAAAATAAACTTAAGCAGAATTAGTTTGTAACTCCTGATGCTCAGAACTCGTTTTAATTAACACCGACACGTGCTAACTCTAAGTGTAAACAACGACAACTGTTATATAGATAGACAAACAAGAGGCGGTAATCAGTAATCGGTAATCAAAATAAAAAGGGCTAAAAAGATATACACAAACATACATACAAATATATATTTAAATACACACAATATATACATATATAAATACATACATACACATACATGCATACAGTACGTATATTATACACAATACATACAAATATTATCTATGTCAGAACAAATATGAAATATACATATGTATATGAAAATGAGAGCTGTGTTAGTTCAAACTTGCAACGATTTTTTCACATGCTTACGGACATGATTTTTAAAAACAAACTTGTTGGAAGTTTTTTTAATGTCAAGAGGGATGTCGTTCCAGAGTCTGATGGCCGTGAGGGCGAAAGAGTGAGATAAATAACCAGTACGGTGTAAAGGAGTGAGCAACTAAAGATTTGCGGAAGAACGGAGAGAACGATTATGAGAATCTCCCAGGTATTGAAATTTGGATTTCAGATACTCGGGAGTGTTAATTAACAATGATTTATATAATATTGTATTTTAATGGCAACACTGCGTCGGTTGTCAACACTGTATCTGTTATGAAGGAAGGTTCAATATGATGTTATAGGCTCTCCATGTTGTTGTTTTGAGGTTAATAAAATGCTCGTTTTATGTTCAAAGTATTATATCTTTAATTATCCCCATAATCCTTAACAGTGTTATGGGCCCAGTACGGCCATCAGTTTTATAGTGGATTAATAAGTGTTAAAGGACAGAAAATGTCAAAAGAAAAATATCAAATTGTCCCTTTCGCGGAGGACAATTACAACGCATGGGAGTTTCGATTAAAAAGTATCCTGCGGGATAATGAAGCAATAGAGGCGATCGAAAAGGAGGATTTCAGTAAATCTACGTATAACAAGCAATTGCAATTGGAAGCTAAGGCCCAGGCTATCATAATAGCGGCAACCGCCAACAGTCACCTCGAATACTTAAAGGACAGATCTGCTTATCAAATGATTAAAAGCATGGAAGACAGCTTTAAGAAGAAAAGTACACGATCTAAATTATTTATAAGAAGAGAGTTGTCCGATATGAAATTCAACGAACGGAAACCTTTAATGGAACATTTTATTGACATGGAAAAGCTATTTGCACAACTCGGGGATGCTGGCAGTGAGCTCTCGGAGGAAGAAAAGGTTAACTATTTACTCCTATCCATGCCAAAATCTTATGAAGGCATTATCACGGCTTTGGAAACTGTGGAGGAATTGAAAATGGACTTCGTGAAAAACAGACTGCTTGGGGAAGAGGAAAAACGGAATAGAGGAGCGACCAAATCCCTTGACTCTTCAATCTTCTTGTGTTATGGATGTGGACGCCCTGGACACAAAAAATCCCAGTGTAGGAGCACTCAGCAGGCACGACACAGGACTGACGACTGGAGAATTCACGGCCGTGGACGTAGCGACTGGAAGTACAACGGAAGCCGAGACGACAGTAAGGCAACTCGTCATCAGACCCAGGGGAGAGGTAAAGGAAAGTCATTTCTTACAGGCACTGAAAATACTGAAGGTAACAAATTTGTAAGTTTTATGTCCTTTAGCCCTGACACCGAACAGCAGAATAAAAATAGTTTTAAATGGGTTGTTGACTCAGGTAGTTCATTTCATCTTGTAAATGACATTAGTTTATTCTTTAATTATTGTAAACTGGATAAGCCAGTTAAAATTTTAGCTGCAAAAAATGGCGTTGATTTAGAGGCTGTTGGTGTAGGAACAATAAAATGTTATTTAAGTGATTTTAAAGTTGATATTATATTAAATGATGTGTATTATGTACCACAATTAAGGAAACATTTATTATCTGTTTCCAAAATGGAAAAGCATGGTTTAAAGATCATCTTCAATAAAGGGGAAGTTAAAATTTTCTTACAAACCAATGAATTGCTTATGGTTGGGCATAGACTAGGGTCCCTTTATTTTGTAGAATTTAAAGTAATATTTAATGATTGTTATTATGGTGCAAAATCAGACACCAATGATAATTCAGTAGAAATTTGGCACAAACGATTTTCTCACTTAAGCTATAGTAGTTTGAAAACTTTAGTAAATAAAAATATGGTTGACGGTTTAACTGATTTGAAAGAAAAAAATTTAGAAAATAGGCATTGTGAACCATGCATACTTGCTTTTAACCCTTGACGCCTTCCTTTTAATGGGAAAATGTATAAGGCTAGGAAACCCTTAGAACTAGTACATACCGATGTTTGTTCTGTTAGCCCTTCTACGTGGGACGGGTATAAACACTTTGTTACTTTCATAGACGATTTTACCCACTTCACCGCAGTTTACTTATTAAGAGACAAGTCTGAGGTTTTAGAATATTTTAAGACTTATTATAATTATGCTAGTAATCATTTTGGTCATGGTATATTGAAGTTAAAATTAGATAATGGTGGTGAGTATATTTCTAGAAATTTTAAATCCTTTTGTGATGAAAAAGGCATAGTATTGCAGTATACTGCTGCATATAATCCCGAAATGAACGGAGTAGCTGAAAGAATGAATCGTACTCTGACTGAAAAGGCGCGTGCATTATTGTTAGATTCACAGCTTCCTAAAGAGCTTTGGGGGGCCCTGCGATATGCGTTATATGTCACTAATCGTAGTCCCACTGCTTCCCTTAATGTTACACCATTTGAAATGTGGGAGGGAAGACGTCCTAATGTGTCTAATTTTAGAATATTTGGGTCATCTGCATATGCCCATATTCCCCAAAAACTCTGAATGAAGTTGGACCCTCGTGGTGTGAAATTGAAAATGGTTGGGTATGCTCCGGGGGGATACAGATTATGGGATGCTAATGAAAGGAAGATACGCATAGAACGAAACGTATTTTTTAGGGAAGAAACATGTTCAGAGTCCCCTGAAACGATTAGTATTGACGTGGAGTCTATCTCGGATGGGAAGGAGAAGGATGATGGTAGTAGTCCTGAGAAAACCAAAACCCCTTTAATTAATGATAAAACCCAAACTAAAAAAATGAGAAAATTTTAACTTCTGATAATAATTTAGAGTCATTACAACCTGAGGGAAAGGATACAGATAATGTTAATTCTAGGGAGAAAAGAAAGAAAACTAAACCAAAATATTTACAAGATTTTGTCACTGATGATTCAGATTCAGATTTAGGTTATATATTAATGGCATCATTTCTATCTTGTTCTAATGGTAATGTCACAGAAAAGTATAATGATATAGATTCTTATGACGATAAAGATAGGTGGTATGAAGCGGTAAATGAAGAAATTAAATTTTTAGAGGATAACAAGACTTGGGAAGTTGTAGAAAGATCAAACGATGCTAAATTAATTGATTGTAGATGGATTTTTACAAAAAAGGCGGGTAATGTATATAAAGCTAGATTAGTTGCAAGGGGGTTTCAACAGGAAGGTAGTTTTACCGAAATTTATACTCCCGTTTGAAATTACAAACTCTCCGAGTTCTTTTATCATTAGCTGTTCAAAGGAACTATTTAATTCATCAAATGGATGTTAAAGGTGCCTGGTGTAAATATAAATACAAATAATGTCTTGAAATTAAAAAAAATCACTTTACGGTCTTAAAAAATCTTCAAAAAATTGGTACAATAAATTTTATGATTTTATGAAAAGTAAAGGGTTTGAAAGAGCAGAAAGTGATTGTTTATATTTTAAGGATGGTATTTACATTTTGTTGTATGTGGGTGATTTATTAATTTTAGGTGAGGACAATTCAAGGATAAATAATGTTAAAGAAATTTTAAGCACATAATTTAAAATTAAAGATCTAGGATCTAAAAATTTAAAATATCTGGGTATTAATATTATTCAAGATAGTGACTGTTTGTATATTAACCAGAAAGAGTATTTAAAATCTATATTGACAAAGTTTGGTATGTCTGAACCAAATGCTAGTGAATCACCCATGGAAGTTAATGTTAATCTTGATGATTGTACGGTTGATTACTCTTTAGAGCATAAATGCAGAGCATATAGGTTCTTTAATGTATGCTGTAGTAGGTTCAAGACCTGATTTGTGTGCTGCTGTTTCATATTTAGCAAGATATCAATCTAGACCATCAGAAAGGTTATGGCAATGCTTGAAAAGGATTTTAAGATACATTAAGGGTACAATTAATTATAATTTAAAATATAATAAGAATTGTAATTCCGAACCACTAGTTGGATATGCTGATGCTAGTTTTGCTGTAGATAAAGATAGGAAATCTATAACTGATTATGTATTTAAAGTATTTGATAACAGTGTTATTTGGCGTTACAAAAAGCAGAGCACTGTAGCTTTAAGCACTACTGAGGCAGAGTTATACTCCCTTAATGAAGCCGCTCTGGAGGCTTGTTGGATTAGGAAATTATTAAATGGGTTAGACGTTAGTTGTAATACCACTACCATATATGAAGACAAATAAAAGTACAATATTTTCTGTATGTAACCCTGATCAAAAAAGAATGAAACATGTGGACATAAAATACAACTTTATTAAACATAAAATAGAGTGTAAGGAAATTTGTTTTATGTATATACCTACAAAGCAACAAATAGCTGATATTTTTACGAAACCATTAAATAAAACCTCTCATAATTATTTTGTACATAAATTAGGATTGGAATAGAGTTTAGTTCGCATTGTGTATTTTTAGTTTGTTAGTTCTGTTAATACAAATCATTGTATTGTTAGTTCTTACTTATTCATTGTAATGTTAGTTCTGTTAATATAAATCATTGGGGGGGTGTTAATTAGATTTATATAATATTGTATTTTAATGGCAACACCGCGTCGGTTGTCAACACTGTGTCTGTTATGAAGGAAGGTTCAATATGATGTTATAGGCTCTCCATGTTGTTGTTTTGAGGTTAATAAAAAGCACGTTTTATGTTCAAAGTATTATATATTTAATTATCTCCATAATCCTTAACAGGGAGCACATGGATTGTTCAGAATTGTGAAAATGTTCATGTAGGATGTAGTATGCATTTGACTTATACCGATTCCTAAGCTTGTCCGAAACTGCTGATAGTCACTCTTTTGTCAATCTCTATCATACGCCGCACAAATTGATGTTATCTTCAGTAGTCGCCGTCGAAGGCACTCCCTCACGCAGACCATCGGTGAGATTAGTGCGACCACGTTTAAACTTATTAAAACAGTAGTAAACAGTGGCACGAGATGGGGCTTCATCTTGAAAGGCCAATCGAAATCTATCATAACTTTCTTGTCGACTTAAATGACATCGAAAGTCATAAAAAATTGTTGTACGAAAATTTTCTCGCATTAAATTCATGCTGACTTGACACAAACAATTTTCAATTTGCCGCCAAATCGTAAACAAATGACAAATCAATAAAATACATACACAATAATATTGGCAGAGATCAAAATTTGAATTTATTTTTTTATTATATCGTTTGCAAGTGGCCAGTTCTAAAAACTTTCAGTGTCGCCGTCGTAATGATGGCGGCCACGCTGAGTGTATAACGTTTTTTTTTTGTAATCGAAAGCAAGCGAGCGGTTATCTATCTACATATATATATGGACTATACAGGGTCATTTTTAATTTACTAAAGACCTTTTGGAAATATATTGGTTACATCAACGTCGCACATGCGGCGGCCCAAGGCCAAGCCAAAGGTATATTATGACGTCGACACAGGTGTCATCGTCATCAAAGGCGCCGCCTGCCCTTTTCGGTTTGCAGCCATCGATTTGGTGATCGATGTTTGTAGCACGTGCAAATTAAATGAGTATTATTAACTATTTTTTTTATTTAATGTAAGTTGTATTTAAAAAATGGATGCAGGTTAAAATAATTACAAATATTACAATAAAATATTTATAATGATTAAATACAAATTAACAGTAATTGAATAAAGATATTAAGGTATAATGGTTCAATAAAAATATTAAAATACAAATTTAAAAATTAGACTTACGCGGATGTCTGTGAGTATCGCGCACATAGCGTTCAAAATAATCACCTCCACATTCTATGCATAGGTGACACCTAAAACTTAACTGTTCACCGACACGAGATAATACTTGATGATTCATTTTGATTTGATCGAATGCCCAAATTATTTTTTCTTTCAACATGTCGCGGGTTTCGAATGCGCGACCAATATACACTAATGTCTTTACATGCCCCCACAAATAAAAATCCATTGGTGTGATATCTGGCGATCTGGGAGGCCATGCACAAGGCCCGTCACGACCGATCCAACGACCAGGGTATTCTCTGTTTAAATAATCCTTAACTTTGCGAGTATAGTGCGCCGACGTCCCGTCATGTTGGTAATACATATTGCGTAAAGATGCAAGTGGTATGTCCTCTAACAATTCTGGCAACATGTCGGTGAGAAAACTATGATAGCTTTCACCGTTTGATCTTTCTATGAAGACCGGGCCCAGTAACGTTGTATTAATAACGCCTGCCCACACATTGACACTAAACCGGTGTTGAAAGCTATACGGTCTTGGTTCATGTGGATTTTCATAGCACCACAAGTGTTCATTGTGCGAATTAAATAGTCCTATTCTGGCAAATGTTGCTTCATCAGTCCATAAAATGTTAGCTCGTTCAGCAGCTAGTAACCAGTTACAAAATGTAACTCGCGCTGGTTTGTCAGCTTCGCCGAGTTCATCAACACGATGCAAGTGGAAAGGGTACTTCTCTTCATTGTGTATGACACTCCATGTACTCCAGTACTACACTGTGACACATTGAACTGTTGTTCACATTTTGTTCAAAAATCTGCAGTATGTCTTCCTCCTCACGTACTGTGCGCCGCGGTGGACGACCACGATCGATTGATACAGGCTGGAATTGCCCGTAATCTCGCAATCGCTGTGTAGTACCTAGCATCGTAGCGTAGCTCGGTGCACGTGAGTTGGGAAATCGCCTTGAATATTCACGGCAGGCTTCACGAACTAAAATTCGCACCATTTCGGTATACTCTATAAGCCATCGTAACAACGCGTAACTTTCGCAATATTAATCTCACAACGGAAGGAGAAACGTCGCGGGCGCACCAAAGGCGACTGACGACAGGTAATTAGGTCAAGTTCAAATGAGCAAGCGCCGCCTCCTACACCCCTCCATCCCTATCCCGCCACGCGCTTTATTTTTCTATTTAGGACTATTGCC